AAATAACTGGACTTCTTTGTGTAGTTGAAAAAGAATGGCATTCAAAGCCTAGTGAAGCAGAAGTCCAAGCTTTAAACTGTTTGGGAGTTGCCATTTTTAGGGATTTAAATCCAGATTGGAGTTTTCCTGTTGCACTGAAAGATGTTTGGTAAAAAAGAAGTGAATTCTTAAAATCTATGCTTCTGAAGCTTAACAAAAAAAACATTACAGATTCAGTGGACATTACAGTGTCCATTCTAGAAGCTTATGACATCTCTTTTCTTCATTTCTTAATACCCTTCTAAGAGTAAAAGTAGTAAGACTTCTCTTACTGAGAACTTCCTCTCTGAAAAGCGTGATTGCATGACATGGTGTTTTCCTAAGGTTTATTGACTGAGAGAAACTATCAGTCATTTCAAGATCTGATTTTATCAGTCACCTGATGATTTCTTAATGCATTTATAGACTTAACCTTTAGTTCTTATTTTTAATTTGCCTTTATGAGCATCTTGTCATTCTGTTGTGTTTTTTAGGTGTCGGCAGATGATGAGCTCTGCTTAGTTCGGTTTTCTGACTCCGACTCAGGTCACTGGGATCCCCAGGTCTTGCTTGGGCTCTACCAAACACAGAAGGTCCTTTTGGGATTTGTAGTTCCCCTGATCATCATTTCTGTCTGCTATCTCCTTCTACTGAGGTTCATCTTGAGTCGACGTGTTGTGGGCAGCACAGTTGGCAGTGCTGGCAGCACTGAGAAATCAGAGCACGAAAGAGGAAGGCACCGCAACCGCTCCAAAGTTACTCGTTCCGTCACCATCGTAGTCTTGTCCTTTTTTATCTGCTGGCTGCCGAACCAGGCTCTCACCCTGTGGGGGGTGCTCATTAAGTTTGACTTGGTGCCCTTCAGTAAAGCCTTCTACAATGCCCAAGCCTATGCCTTTCCCCTGACTGTGTGTCTTGCTCACGCCAACAGCTGTCTCAACCCAGTGCTCTACTGCCTGATCCGAAGGGAGTACAGGGCTGGACTGAAGGAGCTCCTCCTGAGAGTTTCTCATAACGTCCGAAACATTCTTTCTCTGGCTCTGAGAGGAAGACGAGTGGAGGAAGCACCCACCAGCACCATTGTCATACACAAGGACATCAATATGTAATTTCTGCTGTCACTGAAAATTTTGGAAAAGCTTAGCTAAGTTTAGCTTTTATATAAAGAAGATACGTAAGCGCAAACCACCTTTCAAGGTTGACAAAGTGTATTTGGTTACCATGGGAAACAAGCAGGCCTCGTTGTTTACCTTGTTGTCATTTCAACCTCCTGTCTGGTTGTTTGTGTTTGACATATCTAATTGATCTCATGGCATTTTCTGAAACAATGACTAGTTTACATAAGGTGCATAGTTATATTTATTTGCCATTGCATTGCTAAGAGTTTATTTTTTTTATTCCATATATTTCAGATAAAAAGTAAGCAATGGCCACAATGACATCTAATCTAAATTAGGAGAAATCCTCCGCAGAGAAATATTAAAGGCTAATTGGGATCACCAACAGATTTACCATAATAAATATCCAGACCTTTTTTTTTCACAAGTGGATGATGCTAATAACATATTTTGCCTGCATAAAAACATGTTGCTGCTACTGAAACTGAGAGGTGTGAAAATTGCAATTAATCATCACAGTTGACAACTTTGTTTTTGTCTTTGAGGAAGCCGTTTTGGATTTTCAGATCAGTCCAGATGCTTTTCAAAGTTTAGAGTTAGAATATAAAAATTCAGGTGTGTTAAGGTTAATACTAATCCATATAGAAACTGTAGGATTGTAGGTTTTCAAGCATGGACACAGACTTTGGCTGTGTAGGCTCTCGAAGGGGAATCATAAAGATATATTTTACTGAAATCCTTCCTAATTATATCTAATTTAATGACAATCCAAGTAGCATTTCTATGGGAGGCATTTTTTATGGTTGAGATACTTTAGCTCCAAAGCTTTTTGAGAGGCTAATTTAAAACCGTACCATATAAATGATTTATAGCAGAGTAATAGAACTCGAGATGACATTTAATTAGTATAACTTTAGTTGAATTAGTAATGTTAATGTGTCCTGTCATTTCACTTGCTGCAATATATATGCCTTTTCATATTGCAACAGATGTCTTATCGTTTCAGCTAGAAAGCTGCAACATACTGTTAGCTAGCTGTTACTACAACGATGTGAAATTGCACGAACTCCCTTCTTGCCTAATAAATTCAAAACTCCATGAGGTATTCTTAGTCAAATTTGAAATTACATATTTACATAAAACCCCTGTATAGCTACAATGTTATGCTAATATTAACATGTTTACTCTCTTTTTAAATGCAGCTTGTCAGTGGATAAGTACATAATTCAGTGTAGTTACTGTCAATTAGGGGGTTGACAAAGCTAAGCGAAATCTTTTTTATTGTTAAAAAGATAGATATGTTTATCTTTCAACATAAAAAAATATCAATCAGGGTTTTAGCTCCTTTCCTTGCAGATCTCAGGCAAGGCAAGGTAAGGCAAATTTATTTGTATAGCACAGACATGGTTAATGTGGAGTCAACAAGTCATCTCCATGTCATGTATTTAATCTACCCTGCCAATTAACCAGGTGAGTCCCAACTGCACAGGTTAATTCAGGGTGAAGATTGGACTCACCTGCTTCAGTGGCTGGGTAGAACAAATACATGACATGGAGATGACTTGTTGACTCCACATTAACCATGTCTGGTATAGCACAATTCAGTACAAATACAATGCAAAGTGCTTTACGTGATTAAAATACAGGAAAATAAAACAGAATCAAAGCAAGTAGGAAAAATAAATAAATAACTAAAACAAAATAAAATAAAAAAAATGCAGAAACAAAAAAGAACAATAAAAACAGTTGGACTAAAGTAAATACAAAAGTTGAACTAATGATGTTTCAGTTCAACTGTTTACTGTAACTAGAACAGTTGAAGGCAATCCTAAACAAATGTGTTTTTAGTCTTGATTTAACGGAACTCCAGTTTTCTGGAAGTTTGTTCCAGATAAGTGGAGCATAGGAACTAAATGCTGCTTCTCCATGTTTAGTTCTGGTTCT